TGAAGACAGTGGGTGATGGAAGTGCTGTACGTGACCTCCTTCCAGAGTGCCATCTGTGTCCTTTGCCAGGTTGGAGGCTGAAGTGATGGGACTTAAAGCGAGGGGAGATGCTTTATGAAGGAATTTCTTTGCGTGGAGGTGAAAGCAATCTGTTGAATCCTGCTATCTTTAAGGTTGGGAAGAGCTCTGAGATCACCAAGTCCAACCCCAACCCACCCCCACCATGACATCAAATCACGTCCCAGTCTCTGCTGGGACACCCTGAGGGATGGTGACCCCACCACTCCCTGGGCAGCAGCGCCAGTGTCTGAACACTCTTTCAGATTTTTTTCCTAATATCCAACCTGAACCTCTCCTGGTGCAACTTGAGGCCATTACACAACTGCTTTCCTAGGGAACTTAGGAAGTCTGTTTCTGAGGTAGGAAGATGAAACCTGCTCAACACCAGCCGTGCCAGAGTATTGGAAGCAATACTGGCATTAGGGTCTGGGTCTGCTTCAGAGTCTCAGAGTTTTGGCTTTGGATCCCTTGAGAGCCTTGTGGGGGCAAGGGTCCTCCTGGAAGGTGCCTGTGTGGCTGGAAGCAGCTGTGGAGCAGCTCCACTTCATGCTCTTGGCAGTCCCTGCCCACAGGCAGAGCTCTTGCAGTTCCCTGAGGTCTGCACACAACCAGTGGAACAAACCCGAGGTGTACGCCTGGCCTTCCTGAAAAGATGAGGAAAGTGTGTGTGTGTATGTTGGATGGTGTCACTTGTCAGCTGCCCCAGCGTGTCCTGGCACTTCCTCTGTTCCACCGAGCTGTGCTCCGGGGATGGGAGTTTCCAGGCTGGCTCAGGTACGTTGGCTGAAGCTTACAAGGCAGATGCCACATCTGAACTCTCAGACATGAGCAAGTCTTCCAGTAAAAACAAGCTGACGCTGTGCCTGGCAGAGGATTAACGGGGTTTTTGTGCGTGTGGGTGAGAGCTGTGTGCAGTGTGAGATGCAAGGCAGGCTGCTGCTGCTGCTGGGAGGGCTGCAAGCAGCTCACCAGGCTGAGTGCAAGGTCTGAATGAAGCAGGGCAGGGTATGTGGCTGCAGCAGAGGCTGAGTTGCTGCTGAGAGTCACACCTACAGGAGTCCAAATCTGCTCTGTCTCTACCATGTCTCGTTCCCCCACCTCAAGCGTCTCCCGGCTTTCATTCCTTTCCTAGAGCTTCCTTTCCCATAAGCTTATCTGTGTTTGTGGAGTTTAAAACCTGGCCTTGATCTGCTCCTGATATGCTGTATTTCCTTGTTTTATCTGGCGTGTGCTTTTTGCCTTGCCAGTGCTCAATGATACCACCTCTGTGCCCTCCACTGCCTGCCAGCATCTGGGGGGTGGGATGTGCTGCAACATCCCCACTTGGCACAGCACCTTTCTCAGGCGTCTCTGCAAATCTCTGGAGGAAACACATTGTTCAGTACCAAACACTGCCTCGTCCTGTCTGCGTAAGGTGAGCCTGAGCCACCCCAGCACAGCAGAGCTGTTGTTGTGTGGCTGTGCAGAGCAGGCACTGCAGGGCTTGTGCCCGAGGCTCACCTGCAGCTTTGGGCTGCCCTGTGGCTGGATGGGCAGCTGGGGTTCTTCAGACTGGTTGGCCCCCTGGCGTGTCAGAAGGCACATGCTGGGAGTGTTTGCCAGGAGATAACTGCATTCCGGGCAGTGACTCTTTTATCTTGCTAAAATCAAGGAGATCTGATTAAAGTGCAGACCTTGCTTTAAGAATTTTTCCCTTTCTTTTTGACTTTGTCCCTGACCTACATATTGGATCCCGCCACGCTGGTTGGAAGCAATTGAGACCATAGCGTTAAGCTATTTACCAAGCTGCTGGCTTGAAAATAACCTTACTGTCCACACCTGCTCTGGGATAATTTTGGAGTCAAACGACAAAGCACCATTAACCCTTCCAGCCACGTGCAGCCCGTTCAAGGTCTAAGCATAGAACAAGGTTATACCCGTGCTGACGCAGGGAGGAATTGGTGGTAGCACTTTGCTATCCATTTTTCAGCTCCACGGTTATTCCCAGCCAGCTACTGCAGCCAGCCCTGCTGAACATCCCATCCAAACGGGGACAGTTCAGGGAGCTGCTTGTGAGAGCTCCTGCTGGGTGGTTGCTGGGTTGGTGTTGAGTCTGCTGGACCAGAGGCTATTCTGGAAAGTGCGTGCATGTGTATTTTCTTTGTTAGCCCAGTGGTTGTTTCTGATTAAAGGATCTGTTTTGAAGGGGCTGCTAGTCAGTTGCCTAGAAAACTTGCTTTCATTTAATTAATCGTGATGAGTTTAGTCTGGAGTTTTTGTAGGAGAGAGCAAACGAGCATATCCTTGGCTCCTTTCCCTTGGAAAAAAGCAGGGTTTCATGTCTGGAACTGCAGCTCCTTTGTCTCCCCAGCTCGACATCCCTCTCTGTCCTTGGAGTTTTCATTTTACAAGCCGTGTGCTTGCGGAGGTAGATCCAGTTTGAAGTCCATCCAGGTGCGGAATGAGGAAAGAACCATCAAGAAGATTACAGGAGCTATTCTGCAACTGATTAACTCAATCTCTTCCCCTTCTTGTTATCTCCTCCCCGTGCCTAGGGCCTTTCGAACTGCTGCTTTAAGAGCTTCTCACTTAATCTAGCCCACCTGGACAGGTGTATGAAGAAAGGAATTGCCTTCCGGGGACGAACTAAAGGAGCATAGGTTGCAAAGGGAGTCTGCTTTTGGGAACTGCTAATCCCAGTTTAACATTATGACAGCTGCTCGTTAAAATCAGGGTGTTTTTTAACAGGCAGTTAAGGGAGAGGCTTTGCACGCACATTTAGCTGAGGATAATAGCGAGCCATGTGCATTTGATTTTTTTTCTTAAATCACACAAATTATACGTGGAAAGAATTCTTCACGTCAACTTGCTGGAGTATGGAATTTACAAGGTTTGCAGTAACTTACAGTTTCCTGTTGGGGGGCGGGGGGAAGAAAATTACAAAGCTTTCTTTTTTCTTTTTCTTTTTGTAAGATCAAGTTCAAACCTCTTCTATAAACCCAGCCTCACTGGAAGGTGTTCTGGCTGTGTTGGGCTTTCTCAGTTGTCTTGGTGGCAGATTGTCATGTAAACTTGTCTGGGCTCTTGTTTTTATAGCTGCACAGCAAGGCTGCTTATAAACTACTTTTTTGTATCTGGTGAGATACAAGAGTCTGTATGCAAAGAGAAGCAGAGGTTTGGGGAGTCCACGGTCAGGAGGGCTGTATTCCTATGATTACAACTGCTTCTTCCTGCAGCAAACTTGGTCTGTGAACACAATTTTCTCTGCAGGGCTGTGCTGGTGGTTAAGAAGCACGGAGAGCTGAGGAGGGGCTATCAAGGAGTGGCTTGCTCCCGAGCCTCCAGCTGCTCTCTGGGAGCTCTGTCCTTCCCTGCAGCCCTTAGGCGTGAGGCATGAAGGGCACTCTGTGATGCAGAAAGATAGAACATTGCCCCAGGTAGTTTTGTTGCTGGAAATCCTTGCTCCTGCAACTACTTAGATTCAGACAAATTAATTTAACCCGCCAGGACCAAGCAACTGAACTTGGTATGGGAATTTGTGCTACAAACTGTACTGCAAATCATTTGTGGATGGGAGCATCCTTTCTCTCCCCTAGGAAATACCGTCTCTTGTTGCCTTTTCTTCAGCTGTAATGCTAGCACTGGTTACCTGGGATTTCACATTTTCCAGCAGCAAATCTCCTTCCGTTCCTCTCTGCTGGAGAGGAATCTGGCTGTATCAGTGCTGAGGATGAGCAGGGAATTTTCCAGGCACATCTGCATGTGAGAAGCCTTTTCAGCAGTGATCCTTTCTCCAGCCCCAGCACAACTTGGTTCAGCCTCAGGGGACTGATGCTGCCAGTTCCACTCTGCCTGCTTAGAGTGACGACGAGCTGGCCCCTGTCACACAGCTCAGAGGGAGCATCTCAGTGGCACGGTGCTAATAGGCAAAGTGTTTTAATCTCAAGGGTGTCACCTTAAGCTACGGCATAACTTCCTTTACCCCCTGGCTTTAGAAAGCTGAACTCATCTCATTTGGCTACGCTGAGCAAATTCTCTTCCCCCGTGCTCTCCTGCTAGGCTGCTGTCACGCAGAATACTTGCTGATGGGGACTTGGGCTCTTTTCGTATGGTATAAATGGCTTTAATACTTGCTGCTCTCAAGGTCTGGGACTTTAAGTGTGCGCTGGAAAGCAGAGCCAGCTGAGCAGTGCTGGCAAGTGGAGTTGGGAGGACAGGAGGAGACTGCAGATTTCTCTAAGAGGGCATGGAAATAGCAAGGCTGTGAATTCAGAGGCTGGAGCCCAGAATTACAGAGAGGGATGCTTGCATGCGTGAGGACAAACTCACGTGGTGCCAAGGCAGGTTTTCTGTGACTTGTATGAAAAAGGAGCTGCAGTGCGTGTGTGAGCGCACTTAAATGCTAATCTGCAGATCTGAGCTTTCTAAACCTGCCTGTGCTCTAATTGCACAGGATAGGTTCTGCATGCACAACAACTGAGCCTGAAGTGATGATCCTGGGCTCAGCCCTCAGGGATTGCCCAGCACTGCTCTGCCCTGATTTTTTTAATGGTGCTGCAGCTCGCTGCTGGTTTGCAGGTGGTTTAAGCTGTTATCTCTGAGCACATTGCTCGGCTTGGGCAGTGCTGCTGCCATCTCTGCTCCTCTCAGGATATCTTTATGCTGTGATTTCTTTTTAATGTTGTTTTTTTATTTTTTTCCCCCCTCTTTTCCTGCAGCAGGCTGGAATTGGGCTTGTGTGTCAGCTCAGCAGATGTGCTGAAGTGGGGTGTGCTGAAAAGCCTGGCTGCGCTCCCTGCAGGGGTACGGGGAGGAGGGGGAGTGGGAGCCCAACTTGCAGCTGCCCCCTCTGAACAGCTCTTGCTGCCTGCACTGCCACAGATCTATATCCATCCAATCCCTGTGCTGTTTGTATGGAGAGTTAGTGCTTCTCCTCTGCTAATAACCTGTGTCTGATTCAGTTTCCAGGCGGACCGCCCGGCATTAAACGTCGTCATTTTCCCTCTGCTTCACGAGGACTTGACAGAGGTCATCAGAGATGTCCCCATGAGGCACTTGGATGAGATCACCTTGTTTAAAAGCAGAGTGGCTGAGGAGCCCCCCAACCTGTGGTGGTGACAGCACGGAGGGGACAGGCAGTGTGAATGTGTAGGGTTGCTTCTCTTTGGCCTGGATTCCCTGCCTGCAGCTCCTGGCCGCCTCCCCGGGTGCTGCACAATCACTTTCAATTGGTGCAATTGCAAAATAAAAAGCTGTCCATCTGCAGTGGGGAAACATCTCCTTGGATGATGCTTGCATCTGAGCAGCCTGTCTCAAAGGCTTCTGGAACACAATGAGTATTTCCTTGCGGTTAATAATGAATTGCTTTGTTACTTTACTGAAGTTGAAGGTAAGAGAACCTGACTTAATGACTCTCTTTCCCCCGTGTCGCCTGGTGTATTTCCCAAGGGCCCCCGTGTACTTTGGCAGTGTGCTTTGTGGTATTGGTGGAAATCATTCTTTGCTTTGGTCTATTTTTGGCAAAGTAGAAAGCCTCGGACAGCTAAGAGGCACAGCAGTGTGTCGCTCGGTTGAGATGCATCCCATCTATGTTACAGGTACACATTGGTAGCCACACACGTGCAGTTACAGATACTTAATGATCTTTAGATTGAGGAGTACCACAAGGAGGTGGTTTTTTTTTTAGTTTTTTTTAGTTTTTTAAATAACAAATCATAGTTATTAGCACCTTGGCCGTGTGTGTTCTTGCTGATGGTGTTTCCTCCGTTGACGTGGTGGAAGATGTTCTCAGCTGTTTTGGAAGTCCTTGCCCTGGGGTAGGTGGAGCCTACACTGACTGAGTTAAGGCTCAGATCTGATTTAAGTGCAGTCTGTCTTGCTGTTTTGATGGGGATGTAGTGCTCTGGCTCTGTCTTTAGGTCCCATGCCCTGAGTTGATGCTAATCTTAGAGGCGTAGCGAAGCATCTTCACAGCATGACTTCGGTCAGCTTCTCTGCCCCAAAGAACCTCCTCAGGCGTCAGTAATGGTCTGGATCACTTTCATATTGCCTTATTTACTGAGCACTTTGAAAGCATCAGACAGCTGTAGCGAAAGCTGTGTCGTGAATTCCTGGAGCACTGTTGCTGAGTGGCAGTTGGGTTTCCCTTTTGCTGGAGCGTTTTGTGGCAGAACAGTGGCTCTGTCTTCTGCAGAACAGTCGTCAGCTGGAGCTGGTTAACTCTGCACCTGCTGTCTCCTATACGTGCTCTCATGTTGAGCAGTGCTTTAATGGGACGTGGCTCTGAGCAGCCTGGTCTGGTGGTTGGCAACCCTGCCCAAGGCAGGGGGTTTGAAACTAAATGATCTTTGAGGTCCTTTTCAACCCAGGCCGTTCTACGATTCTATTCCATGAGCCTACACTCAGGTAGGCGATGGTGTTAGTGAGCGGCTCAGTGTCTGTGCATTGCTCAAACCAACCCTCGCACGTGTTTGCTGTCTGTCTGAGCTTCTCTCCCTTCCCTGCTCAGGTCTGGGTGCAGCAGCAGCCATGCTGAGGCCTCTGGAAACAACCACATCCTCCCCATCCTCAGAGCGGAGCCGGGAGCCCTCCTGGAGCACTGCAGACTGCCGCAGGTCAGGCACGGCGCTGGCACCCCGCTGTTGGCATCCTGCTGCTGTTTGCTCTCCCCGTGAGGTTGTTCTTTCTACCTCGTGTCATATTGCTTGCCTGTTCGAATCCCTCTCTCCCTCTCCAACAACTTTTTTCTCTCCTCCTCCCACGCTCTAGCAAAGCCCATGAGCTTGTTGGCAGGAAAGCGAGCCTCTGCTCCGTCCAGTTCAGTCCACTCCAGCTCTGCTTGGTGTGTGTCCAGGTTTCTTTCCCAGAGTAATTGATGGGGATCAGGCAGCGAGTTGCTGGAAGCAGTGCCAGTGCTGTGCTGCTCTCCTTCTGCCGCTCAGGCAGGGTGAAGGGAAGGCTGAGGGTCTGGAGCCAGGTCTCACGCTTAAGGAAACCTGTCCTGTCCCATGGGGGAATCCCAACAGCAGGACATTCCCATCCCAGCCAGGCATTTCTCCTCCTCCAACATACAGCAGCACCAGCAGGAGTTTGGCAGAGCTGGCAGAGTTAACCCTTCAGTCCTGGGGATCAGAGCGGCCCCACAAAGCAGGCGGTGCCTTTCTCTTGGCAAAGTGGAACCCACCTGCCTCGTCTTGCTGGGTCGGGGCAGGCAGCCAGGCATGGTTTGTAACACCATTATTCTGTTGTCCAGAGAATGATGCTCAGACATCTGTATTCATGCAAGCAGGTCAGAAGTCCTGATGCAAATGCTAGCAGTTATGATCGGGGCTGAGAAAGGTCACCCACAGGTAGTAAAGACAGCACTACAAAATGGTGATAACGAGGGAAAAATGCCTCCTGCCTGCCCCGTCCCCCAGCCGTGGTCTGGTGCTCCCTATCTCTGCCACAAATCCTCTTACGGTGAGTGAGAATTTCCGCTGCTTCTGCACTGCAGGCAGGATTCACCAGATGTTAATAATGTGCTTATTTTCTCTAAGTGCTATTTTGGCATCGGTGTTAATTACAATTTATATTCTGCAACATTTACACTGGGAAAAGAACCCACCCTAATAGTCCCCAATTGGCAGAGCTGGGCTATTAAGCATCGCACCATATGTTCTGAGCAGAGCAATGCATGGGACTCGGAGCCCACTCAGTGCTGAGACTCCAGCCTGCAGCGTTGGAGCAGGAGAGAATGGAGGCATTGGCGTTCTGTTGCTAGCTTTTATTTAACACAAAATCCCTCCCCCTTCCTCTGGTCTCTGTCCCCATCTCTCCAGAAATATCCCCCCGTTCCCTATAGGCACCCAGTGAGGTGATCTCAGCCTGCTGATGCTGCTGTCCGTGGGCTGAAATGAATGGATTCCATTACAGAAGGAGCACTTCTTGCAGGCACTGCCTCTCTGGGCTGCCCAGTCCCTGCTGGTGTGTTTTGTGCTGCTCTCTAAATCTGACCCACCATCTCCAGGGCTGTGGGAGAAACTCGTGCATCGACCACTGATGTGTCTGTGCATCTCTGGGAGAAGGAGATTCTGGGGCAAGCAGCAGTAGTGGGGAAAGCAACAGTTGTCTGTGTTCTGTTCGTGCTTCCTTCGGGCAGCGTGCAGGGCTGTGAAGTCCCCTTACTGGGAGGGGAGCACAGGTCGGGGCTGCTGATGCAAGCTGCCGGGTAGCAGAGCAGAGGCCCTGCTTGCATGAATCCCCAGGGCTGTCTTTGCAGCAGGATCCGTCCCCTCACCTCTTTGGTGGCTCTCTGGGACTCGGGGCTGGGAGCCCCAACCCCTCGCTGGGCGCTGCAGGGTGAAGCACCATCCTCGTGGCTCTGTGGCTCCGCAGGGATGCGCAGGCAGCCGGGTGTGCTGGCAGGAGAGCCATTTCCATAGAAACCAGTTGGGATGTTGCACAGGGAATAGTGATGAGCAGCGAAGGGACGTTGCCCTGGACTCTGTTTGTTTTTAGGGGGCAGTGAGGGGCAGAACAGCCCCCAGACTCACGGATACCCCACGTGCCCATGACTTCCTAGGGGGCTTCCCCCCCTCCTCCCACCTCCACTCCTCAGCTTTCATCACATTTTCAAAATGGCCAACCTGGTTAGGAATAACCATCATCATAAAAAAGGATGGATGGGGTCTGACTACGAACACTGTTGCTGTTAGCAGCAGGATGTCAGCCATAAAACACGAAGCAAGGGAGGCATTGACCTTTCTGCTGTTTGAAATGAATGGAGACATCAATATCCATTGTTTCGTGGCATTGACCTCTGACGCGCTCCGTTCTCCCTCCCCTTCACTTATTTATTATTTTTAGCATCCCCCCCTGCTCTGCAGGAGAAGGGTCACTTGGTTCCATCTACTGCTTCCAATCTCACTCAGCAATAGGGAACCCATCAGCACGCAGAGGGTCCCTATGGTGTGCTGGTGCTGTGGGTGTGTGCTGAGCCCCGTTCCTACAATGCGTTCCCCCCTTCCCCATGCAAAGTCAAAGCTCCGAGCTGTGAAGGAAGGCAGATCAATGCACGTTTAATTACGATGGGGTTTTTATTTCGGTTTTTAAGCAGTGAAGTGTAACGTTTTATGTGAGCACCATCGGAGCCCGGTTGCCCGGTTCCTTGTTTTATTTATTGCTTTAAAGGAGCCCCTTCTTTTGTGAACTTCATCTCTGCGCAGCGAACGTGAAATCAGGCATTGCTAATGAGCTGCGTGACAATTAAGTAATGTAGCACAAAACCATTAGGACGCTGGATTTGGTTTTGAAGTTCGTCCTTTGAAGCGGAGCTGCAGCTCCCTGCCCAAGGCTGCTGGGGAAAATGTTGCTCTTTCAAAACTTTCTTTGAAAATAAAATGTCAGCATAAGAGTCCCTATTTGTGTCGCCCCTCGCTACGAGCAGCGGGGGGGGAAATGGGTGCTCGTTGTGCAGCCTGCAGGCATTGGTGGGAAGGGGATCTGGGAGAGCAGGAAACGGGTGCTTGGTGTGCAGGGCTGGCACCGAAGCTGCTCAGCTGCTCGTTGGAAAACAGAGCTGCCTTGGGAGGGAAGGAGCTGACCCACAGCTGGGGGGAGGGCAGGGGAGGGTTGGGCTGCGGCACCGCTGGGCCCCTGGGCTCAGACCTGGGCTCCATCCGTGCGCTCGTCTGCTGCTTGTGTTTGCACCCAGCCCCGTGTTCTCATAGTGAGTCCAGTTCTGAATGTGCAACTTTCCTGTACGCAGTGGCATGTAAAATTTCAAATAAAGAGTGAATCTGTTCTGAACCGGGTCTCTCGCTGTCTCCTGCCTCGTATTTCCCCTGAAAAGCGCAGCCCGAAGCCATCCGTTCCCCCCATGGGACACTTTGGGGTTGTGTTCTGCCTGCAAAGTGTGAGCTCGCACGCTGAAGGAGATGCTTTTCCTTCGTGGACATCCAAACAGACAGCGATTGAGCCTCACTGCTGCAGGACGAAGCAGCTCTCTGGTGTGCAGGTGGGTGAGTGGTGCAGCTGGAGCAGTGAGGGCTGCACTCACCAGCCCTGGAGGTGATCCAGATCCATGGAGATGTCCATTGGGGATGGGGTTTGGTGTGGTGGTGGGGATGGGTTGGGGTTGGTGAACCTGGCTGCCCTGCAGCTGCTGTGGGCTCACCCAGCTCTGCCTGGAGGCTCCGTTTCACGGTGCCCGTGGGCTCCATTGCTCTGTGTGCTCTGGCAGGGGCCATCCCTGGTGCTCATGTTTAAGTTATGGATTTTATTGCTCCAATAACTGTTATCTAACCGTGGTTTTGAGGAGGGAAGAAAGAGATAAGGAGGGAGGAGGCTGAGGAAGGAATGTACTTTCGGGCTCTGCTGGGCCTCTGGCTTATCACAGGGGCTCCCTGCATTGTTTGGGCATTAATAATCCCCAGGGAGGGCTGGGGAGCAGCAGTCGGTGCCATGGCTGGGATGGAGCAGCTCGTCCTGGAGCCGTGCTGTGCCCCTGCAGCACATCTGCTGTTGCCAGGAGGGGTCTGTGGGGGAGCTGGGAGGCAGCGGGGTGAGAGCTCTGCAGCCATTTAGTTTTCTTGCTGTTCCACGCTGCCCCTTTTTCTTGAATGATGGCAGTGCATAAAGGATGACAGCCATCTCCCTGCTTCCCAAAACGGTGCTGTGCAGCAGAAGGCCTGACTGCTCTCATGTGACACGAGAAGAGTTGTTCTCTCAAGTTTTATCCCCAAATTTTGCCCTCACAGAAATGGCATTGATCTCTGCTAGGTGGGTTGGGGGGGTGCTGGTGGTGTTCTGGAGGTTGAATGGCTTTAAACTGAGAGAGGGGAGGCGTGGGTTGGATGTGAGGGGGAAATGGTTCACCCAGAGGGCGGTGAGGTGCTGGAGCAGTGGGTGCCCCATCCCTGGAGGTGCCTGAGGTCATGGATGGGCTCTGGGCAGCCTGAGCTGGGGGAGGCAATGAGCCCATAGCAGGGCTGAGGCTGCAGGGCTGTGAGTCCCTTCCAACCCAGCCATTCTGCGGTTCTGCAAATAGATGGGAAGCTTTAGGAGGGACCAGAAGGAGAGAGGTGTTGCTGTTAGGGCAGGGATGAGCCGTGGCTGTGGTTTGGTCTCTGTGTGACACGTGGTGATGCTGCAGTGCCACCCGTTGGGGCTGGGACCTGTGCTCTGGGTGGCACCAGTGTTGTCCCCAGCACCTCATTCCCATTCCGTTGTGCTTCTGTTTGCTGCTGGTGTGGCACCGAAGGGCTGCATGGAGCTGGAGATCCACAGTGTGCTGAGAGGAGGGAAAAGAGGATGAGCTGCATCCCTCCCACAGAGCGCAGGTGGGTGGAGGAAGGACTTCTGAGCTACTCTCCCATAAGCAGCATTATTGGAGCACCATTGCTGTCCTCTCCATCCCCTCTGTAAACAGGAATTAAAAGTACAGCTCATAAAACCCTTTTGCTTTCTCCAGAAGGAGGGAAGAAAAGAGAGGGGAAAAAAAAAAAGCCTTGAAAATGCTAAAGGACATAAAGGGCGTTCATGAAAGGGTTGGATGGTGGTTATTGCAGCAGGGGGAAAAACAACATTATTTCACTGTGCAGATAAAAGGAAGGGGAAAAGCAGCATATTTATAGCTAGGGAGCCTGGATTCCTTGTTAAGCCGCTATTATCAAATTAATGTCAAAATGCATCAAACAGGCATGAGTGTTCTGGGCCCCTTATGCAAAGTGCTTGCAAATTGGTTACAAATACATTTGTTTACAGGGTACGAGGCAGGAGCGAGCTAATTAGTCATTGTAGCGGGTTGTTTTGTCTTTTTTTTTTTTCCCAATGATTTTTTTTTGGCAATTACAGCCAGGCTGTTTTGAAGTACAAACAGAGCCCCTTTAAAAACACATCGAGTGCATCCCCAGCACAGGAGGGGATTCCAGCCCTCCCCACCCTTGGCTGTGCAGGCCGTGCCCTTGCTGGGTGAACTCTGCCCTTCTCCAGATTTGCTCCCCATGCAATATTTGCCTTCCCCCCGTGCCCAATGGAGGTCGTATTCCTCTGCCTTTACTGGAACTCCTCCAATTGGAAATCAGCTCTCTCATCCCATCCATCAGTGGCCATCAGGTAGTCCCAGAGCCTCCGCTGCTGTGTCCCTGTGCAGGCAGCCATGTGCCAGGCTCTGCTCCTCGCTGTGTCCTCACCCTGCACTGCTGATGGACTCCTTGTGCCACCGCGAGCACGGAGCCCAGGACAGCCCTTCCCTGCTCGAGGAATTCAAAACACACCGAGGAAGTCCAGCGTGAGCTGAGGTGTGGGTCGATGCCTCTGTGTGTGTTTGCCTTATTCTATTTCTGAATGGGTCACCGCGGGATCGGCACGGCAGGCCCGGGTCGGGGGATGGAGCTGCACTGATTTATCCGCGCTGTGGCACTGCAGCCCCACGTGCCGTCCTGGGCTGAGGGCTGCAGCCAACCCCGGTGCCACGGTGTGACCTGGAGGGGGGGGGCTCCTCCCGGACAGTCCCTCCCGTGGGCATTTCTGGGGTCGGTCCCCGATGCGCGGTTCCACCGAAGGCTCTGCTATCAGCTCCCCGCGCTTGGGGTGAGCCGGCTGCAGCCCGGGGCCGTTGTCATTCCCCTCATGTAGCACGAAGGATTTCTGCGAGTGCCATAAACCGTCACGTGGGCAGAGCCTGGGTGAGCTCTAATTGCTTCTATTTGCATAATGAGGCGCAGCACAGCATCCTGCCGGTATCGGAAAGGGGAAAATCAAAATCAGCTCCAGATAAGCAGCCTGCCCCCATCCCTACCCGCTCCTCATCGCATCCTTTCCCCCTTACAGATGGGTGCGGGGTTTCTCCAGCTCCAGGGTCTCTCCTGCCCCCCAGGAGCACCGCGCCACCCCCCGCCCTGTCCTCGGGGCTGTGACCGCAGCCGTCCCCGCTCCGTCGCCCTTCTGTCCCCGCAGCACTGCTCCCAGCGGAGCCCCTTGCAGGCGACGGGTCCCAGTTTGGTTTTGTCACCACGTACGGACTGCGACGTTCTCGCAGCGATGGTGGCACCCGGTGCAGCCATCAGGTCCTGCAGTCCGTCGTTGAGCCCGGGACGAAGGGAAGCGCTGCCATGCGGGTCCGTGCGGCGCCGGAGGGTCAGCGCCGTGCGGGTTCCGTGGGACTTCCCCAGTGAGAGCCCAGCAGATGTCACTACAGCCTGTGTGATGGGGACAGGCGAAGGGACAGGTCCCATCTGCGGGACGCACGCTGTGCGCTACGCACTGCGCTGCTCCGGCCCCGTTCTCCTCGGCAGCGAGCGCCCAAAGGCAGCGGGAAGGGCACCTGGAGGAGGGGTGATGTCCCCTGACGGCAGTGTCAGCAGCCCGTGTCCCCAGGCTCCCAAGGGACGAGGAGCTTCCTTACCCCATCCATCCCAGCGGACAGATCCGGGCGCCCCCGGGCGCTGGCACAGATGCTGGGACCTTCCTTGGGCCGAAACTCGCCTCACATCCATCCCTCCTCCTCCTCCTCCTCCTCCTTCCCTGATTCCTCCCAGCACTCCACTGCCCTTTGGGGAAGAAGTGCTGACTCCAGATGTTTCCCTAATGAGAACCTTCTGCAAACAGCTCTGCTTTATTTTCCTCCAGAAAGCAAACCAAAGGGCCGTGCTGGTGATGGTGAATCCCCCGCAGCCGGCGCTGGGATACGGGCAGAGCCCCCAGCTGCCTTCTGCAGAGCAGTGCTGGTGCAGCACGATGTGCCCAGTGGGGTGGGTTTGGGCTCCCTACTTTCCTAGCCCAGGCTCACTGCCATCATGTTTGAGATCCCATCTGATCCGCCGTCGCCCATCCCTGGGTCTCTCCATTGCTCCTACAGGTCAGATCCGCAGAGCTGATGGAAAGATGGCAAGGCGTTCATTTGAATGCACACTGTGACACCTCTGAGTCAGTTTGGGGGATTAACTGGAGCGGATGGCATTTAATAAACAGCCTCATCCCTCCCCCCACCCTGCTGTCATCTCAGAAGGGTAAAAAAGAAACTGCACGTGGGTGCAGGGGGGGGAAATAAAACGGAGATGGGGTGGTGAGTGCCGTGGTGTTTTCTGCCCCATCCCAAAGGATGCAATGAACGTGACCCCCAGCCATGGGGGGTCAACGAGGTCAGGGGGTCCTGGGAAGCCCCTGCGGTGCCCCCATAGAGGAAGGGATGATATCCTACACCCACAGCTCCTGGTTTGCTCCCAGTGCCATGCGTGGGGTGCTGCGAGCCGCCGCTCGGCGGGGCTGAGCCTCCATCACAACGTCATCCCTCAGCCTTTCCTCGTTTCTTCGGGATTTCAGGCAGCTTCCAAATTCCTGCGCAGCCAAATCCTCCCTGGGGCTGCCAGGAGCCCCGGCCAGCAGTGGGGACGTGCAGTTTCTGTACCCACAGAACAGCCAGGATTGCTGGCGTTCCGTGAGTGACGAGGATGGGATGGAGCCCCACTGCTCCCCGTCCTGACACGGCCACATCACAGCGGGGTGTCCTGGAGGATCCCTTTGCTGGCACCTGGGCTTGATCCCAAAACTCGAGGTGATGGGGAGATGCTCCCAGCCCTGCACCCCTCTGCTTCGGGGTCCCACCCCAAACTCCCCACACTTCACCCTCCCGCTGTCTCCACAACCTCGCCGTGTTCCCGAATGTGGAATTGTGTTGGTTCATCTGCTCTCGTGCAGGATTTATTGTCCCCACGACTTCCTGTGCTTGCTTTCAACACGCACTATTTCTTCTGGTGAGCGATAAATCAAAACTGTTTGTTTGTTTCCAGTGGCTTTTTTTTTTTTTTTTTTTTTAAACAGTTATGATTATTTTTTATTTTTTTTCCTCCTCAGGGCCCTCCCCGTGCTCTGGGAAGCACCTCGGGGGCAGATGGAGGTGGGGAGGAGATGTGGAGAAACTCAGAGTTCACAGTGATGGCACAAGTTGGGTGTCCATGAGAAATGCTCCCAGGAATTGAGCTGGGAAAGGTGGGAAACCCTGCCCTGATGCTGTGGACTGAACACTGCTCCACCTCCAACGCTGCTCCATGTCCAACGCTGCTCCATGTCCACAACACTGCTCCACCTCCAACACTGCTCCATGTCCAACACTGCTCCACCTCCAATACTGCTTCATCTCCAATACTGCTCCATGTCCAACACTGCTCCATGTCCAACACTGCTCCACCTCCAACACTGCTCCATCTCCAATACTGCTCCATGTCCAACACTGCTCCATGTCCAATGCTGCTCCATCTCCAATACTGCTCCATGTCCAACACTGCTTCACCTCCAACACTGCTCCATGTCCAGCCACCACCAGGATGCAGCCCCATGGCCTGGAGACCCTTCATGTGTTGGAGTTCTCCATCGAAGCCTTGCAGACATGAACCCAATTTGGTTTTCCTGCCTCATCCTGGGCAGAACAGAGCCTCGCAGTGGGGTGCACACACTGAGCACCCTCCTCCACCCACTGGGCTTCTATCAGAGACCCCAGAGCTGGGGACCCACCTCGAGCCAATCCCACCTACTGGATGCACCTCTCTGCTCCGCTCTGCTCTTTCCACCAGCGACTCGTGGAAAATCATTTGTTTTGCAGCAGCAGCTCAGCATGCCGGGTGTTCCTCCTTACTCTCCTCTTTCTTCTTTTTGTTTTGGAGCACTTTGGCACAAAAACACCTGGGATGCCGACCTTCCCACAGTGCTTTCCTCACCTTGAAGGCTTTTTCTTTTTACCACCCCACTCTGGCTGTGCAAACCGCACCGCGACGCGGCCCGATGGTGCTCCCAGGGCTGGATTTTATTTGGGAGAGGATTATGATTTTCCAACAGCTCTCACACAGAGGCGGAGGCACCCGCGGGGTTCCCACCATCCCTCTGCTGCTCCCCGGGCCAGCGTCAGCACGCCTGCAATGCGTCCCCTGGGGATGCAACAGCCAACCGGATCCGCCGGGAGATGTTGGCGAAAACACCCCCGAAATGATGAATGGTGCCGAGCTGTGCTTTATGCTCTATATTTAACAGCATTGTCTTCTTTTAATTTATTTTATTTTTCTTGGAAATGGGTGTGGGGGGGAGCAGCACTCGCTTTTCCCGCGACTTTTCGCACTCCCGCAGAGCGCTGACCCCTCCGTGGTGCTCTGGAAAGCAAATTTCTTTTTTGGTTTCGTTTGGAAGCCGGGATGGAAAATGATTTCCAAACTCCCCAAATTAGAAACAGTGCTTTGTTTTGGTGGTGGGGGTGGGGAGGGGGGGGAGGAGCGGTGTGTGTCATCCCACAGCAATGAGGAGCGCGCCGAGGGAGTGCGGCACTGTGATTGATTTCTGCAGCGCTGCCCCATAGCGCTGCCCCATAGCACTGCCCCATAGCACTGCCCCATAGTATTGCTCCATAGCACTGCCCCATAGCGCTGCCCTATAGCACTGCCCATAGCACTGCCCCATAGTGCTGCCCCATAGCACTGCTCCATAGCACTGCCCCATAGCACTGCCTCATAGTGCAACCCCATAGCGCTGCCCCATAGTACTGTTCCATAGCACTGCCCCACAGTGCTGCCCCATGGTGCTGCCCCATAGTCCTTCCCCCTTGCGCTGCCCCATAATGCTGCCCCATAGTCCTTCCCCATAGTGCTGCCCCATAGTTCTACCCCACAGCACAGCCCCATGGCTCTGCCCCGAGTGTTTGCACACGGAGGGTTTGGGTTTGAGCTGTCGATAAGTGATTGGAGCGGATGCTTTGTGGTGCTGGGGGGCACGAGCAGGCGGTGGTTTCTCGTTGGGATTTTGTTTCAGTGTGTCCTCATAGCGATTTCACTGTGGGTTGTTTTGTTTCTCACAAAAAAAAAACCATTGGGTCCTATGGGAGCTGGGTTGGATTCATGCAAAAAGGAGCCAGTCCTGCCTGGGACGAGCTGGTCCCCATCCCTGCAGTTAGAGGTTCTACTGACAAACCACCATGGCAGAGGCTTCCTGCTGCCTTCTGCAGCTCCCAATGGGCCCTCAGCCTCAGGCTGTGGGGGTGCCAGGCCATTTCTGTGTGTGCAGCAGCAGGCATCGCCAGAAATCCCAAACAGTGCATTTTAAGAAATCACAGCGGGTGCTCCATGCGTTCACTAGCAGTGACTGCACAGACTGGAGAAACCTTCACCCTCCGCGTTTTTCCCCCGTGGGGCATCTCAGCTCATGCACCCATAGGCACAGGTGGGTGGCCACGGGCTGGGCTGCCCCCCCAGGCTGCTCAGTGCCAACCGTGGCCTTGGGCACCTCCAGGGATGGTGATGATGCTGGAGCCACACGGGCTGGGTTTGCTCCCTGCCAGCTGATGCTCGAAGAACAGAGCATCAGAACACCTCGTCCCTCTGCCCTGGTTCTTCCTCTCTTCCACCTCTCCCTCTTCTTTCTTTCTTTATTTTTTTAATTTTTCCCAGGCCCCAGTTTTCCCCCCCATCAAGGGAAACGCTTCGCCTAATTAGCAAAACACGTCAAAGAAAAATGATTAATGTCCCAGGAGGAGATTTAGCCGCCTTTGTGCCCGGGTAGCCTGACTTCTGCTCCTAAAGGTTTTAGTAAAAGATAAGGCAGCTCGTGACGGGCAGGCAAAGCAAAGCGTGCGCTCTGCCCGGTGCCGTGGGGTGGGAGGAGGGGGGGATGCAGATCGGGGTCAGTGGGGCTCGTGTTTCTGTGCCTCTGCGTGTGACCGTCACCGTGGTGTCGGGCCTTGGCAGGGGGAAAGGCGTAAGCTCTGGCTGAATGCCTCCTTTATTCTTCCAAGGCAGGTAACTCAATCCTGCTGGCCGGGCTTGGAAGCGTTGCTGTGATTGAGGCTGTTTGCACGGGGTGATGCTGTGGGCGCAGAGCGGTTCGGGGAGGGGATGCTCGGGGTGGGTGCCTCAAATTGGGGTCAGATGCAGCAGCGGGGTGGTGAGGGGACAGCAGGGTTCCCATCCCAGCCCTCTGCCACAAACCCCGGCACATCTACCCTAAAACCTTCACAACGAGCTCCTGCAGAACTCCGTGCTGCTGCAGGGCGGTTGTTGCAGACAGCTGGACCAGAGATGGAGCATCGCTGCGCCCCGGGATGTGCCCAATTCTCAGCAGAGCTCTAGGAGATCCAAGCACAGCATTCTTTGCTGTTATTATCACGTCAAACCATGAGAAACTCCCCAAGCAGCAACTGGAGGCATCTGTGTGTCAGTGGTGGCGGGGCGCTCTGTGCTCGGAGGGCTTCTCCTCCAGCACCAGCCTGGGCTCAGCCGGCTCTGCTCCACGTAAACAAGGGCTGTGTGTCGGCTGGAGGCGGCCTTGCAGGGCTGTGTGCCGCTGGGTGGGACCTCAGCACAGAAATATTTTCAAGATAAACAGAGGAAAACGAGTCCTGGAGGAGGACGGAGCCGCTGGCAGAGCTCCTCGCCGAGATATTTCGGGGCAGGAACTTGGCGCTGCGCGGGCTGGGGTGGAAAGATGGCTTTTGTAAATTCCTTCTTCTCCAAAGGGAACTTCGAGGGCTGCAAATAAACACAAAGGGCAACAGGCAGCGAAACCCATTGGGGGAGAGTGGGGATGCCACGGGGCAGAAGTGCCCGCAGGGCAGGATGATGCCATGGGGACCCAGCACTCTCACCCTGCAGCATCCCTGCGTCCCAGTGGCCAAATGCCACCGATGGTGGAGGTGGAGCATCACCCAGTACCAACCAGGACTGCCTGCTGGCAACGCCAAGTGCCGGCAGTGGCACCTGGGGGATGCGGTCCCCTGTGCTGGGTGCCGCGCTCGGGGTGCTGGGATGCCGGCGTCTCCCCCTCCCTCTCCTCCCCACCCTCGGCAAATTTAATTAAAAGTCGTTCAGATTCCTTTGAAAGAAAATGTCATCCGTCGACACAATTACACTTTAACTAACCAAAGCTGTTACAGTTCCTATATATATTGGAATCAGGCTGTCGTTATTAGTTCTAAGTAAGTAATTTATTCCCATTATTGTGTTCAAATTACAGGATATTACCCCCTGGGGAAATAATCCTGTTATTTGAAATGTAAAAAAGAATTCGCACGGACAACAATAGGTTCCTAAATGAACCTCAGAACGGTCCGAAACTGAGCACGGCATCGCTTTGCCCGGATAGAAAAAACACACAAAGTTGCGTTTAAAAGATGCTTTTCCTCCTCCCGCCCCAAGAGAGGGAAAAGGGGCTCCTCCTCTTCACCCGGAGCTGTGGGAAGCCGGGGGGGCGGGGGATGAGTGGGGGCAGCCCGGTGCCGGTGCGGCTCTGCGACACACGGAGCTCATCGACCGCTTCGGAGCTCCGAGAGGAAAAAGGGAGAGGGGGGAAAAAAGAAAGAAAAAGAGGAGGAAGAGGGAGGGGAGGGAGGAAAATGAGCTACACTTGTAACCTGATTACAGCAGCCAGCTATGTGTGCGAAATCACAATGCGGCTCTATAATTAAATCTCCCTTTCCCCCCTCCTGCCGCGCTCTTTCCTCCAGCAGGCGCGGTACAAAAGCCGTCGTTAGGACACGGCATTCCAGCTCCGACCAGAGGGGAGGTTTTGTCTATCGCTGCTGGGATCGTCTTGAAGGAAATCATAATTAGGAGCCGGGCGCTGCCGGCTGGAAGGCTTTGTTGGGCACAGGGCTCTGCTGGAGGAGCCGTGGGTGCTGCGGGGCCGGGCACAGGGAGTTTGGGGGGGGGAACGGCCCCGGGAGAGCCGTGGGGCGGCCAGGGGTCAGCAGGGGTTGCGTTGGGTGTGGGGACCCTCCTGCAGCCCCTGGTGCCTGGGTGAGATGGTTTCTGCCCCAACAGGTGTTGTTTTAGCATCGTTTTGGTACCCAGCGTGGGCAACCGCGGTGCTCTGGCTGGTGCCCGTGGGGATAAGGGAGCCAGAACAACTCCTGGGGGTGGGAAATGCTCCTGCCGTGTGCTCTGCCCAAAGCTTTCTGGGCACTTGGCTTCTGGGCCCATGGCCCTACAGCTGGCCACGTGGAGATGCCAAGGATGGGCTCGGCTCGGGGCGAGCAGCCCCTGCTGTCCCTGCCTTGTCCTTTAAGGACATCGGTTTGCTGGGTGCTCCGTCCCCACCTGTGTGACACCTGAGCTGGGTGGCAGTTCAGCCCCAGCAGCCCATTTCCCCGTGGGCTTGTTGCTTTGGGGTACTTTTGAGGACAGGTTTTGTTTCCCATCTCTCTTTCCCTCGGATAAGAAGAGGCATTTATGAGCTGGAAGAACTCAACGTGGGGAGGTGGATGGATTCCCCGTGCTTTCAGATGGGGATGGCAAAGTTTGGGGTGCACACGCAGCAGTGACAGCACGCAGGGACACCTGCAGGGGAAGGGACAGCCTGGAGCATCAGCGCCGTTGGTGCCCACATCTCTTCTTCTGGGGGACATCGCTCTCGGTGTGGCACAAAGCCAGTCCCCATCCCCTGCAGCTCTGCATTTCCAGCTCCCCAGGGCTCTGCTGGTTGCTGTGTGCAGCACAGAGGAGAGGTGAATTTTAAGAAGGACGGAGCAAAGGCGACCAGCTCTGCGCTGAACCGCTCGACTTCCCTCCCCGCCTCTCCCTGATGCTTCAGGACCTTCAAACCTGAGCTGTTTGTTTCTCCCCACCATTCCTTCCCTCACCGGAGAAGCTGCAGATGCTTTCCACGTTCGGATATTTGGTGTGCACACAGGAGGAGCTGCACTCAGCTGGCTGTGCTGCTGCGGATTGCTGCTCACAGCCTGCGTTAGAGCCACGCAGCAGGGTGTGGGTCTGGGGTATTTCCCACGCGTTTCTCTGTTAAACCACCACATCTGGCCCTCCAAAAGCTGTGGCTGCCTTCTCCTCGCCCCGCAGCCCAGCTCTGGTTAGGACTGGAGGGCACAAATCACAGCCCCGGGACTCACGTTCAGCTCGGAGCATCCCTCGCCAGCATGTGTGTTTTTCTCATGATTTTGCACTTAAAAAAAAAAAAAAGAGAGAGAGAAAGAAAAAAGCTTTTTATTGGGTAAAAGGGGAAGAAAAAAAGGAGAATCAAAGCCCCCACAGCCCCGCAGCTGGGATTGATGGAGAACGCCATCCCACGCTGCTGGGAATCCCACCTCCCGGCTGCCCCCAAAGAGCGGGGTGTGCGGGACCCCCTCGTGTCTGTAGGGCTGCGTCACAGATCCCGTTTTGCCTTCCATCCCCTCTTTGGTGTTTTATATGGGGGAAAGGGCCTCCAGCGCCGCGCCGGGGGATGAGGAAATGGGGCAGAGCTGTGCCAGCTCCGTCCGTGCGTCCGTCTGATTTATGGCCGCATTGCTAAATCCGGGCGCTGACTGCACGCCTTAAATATAGCTGCAAACAGCCTGCAAACGTGCGGGCGGCACGGCTCGGCACCCCGCGTGTGTGCACGAAATGGGGGGCAGCCCCAAAGGTGAGCGGCCCCCCCTGGGAAAGTGGGGCAGGGTGATTTGGGATGGGAGGGGGGGAAAAGGGGAGGGGGAAAGGATGGCGGTTGTGTTGCCATCCCACCCCGAAGTCCTACCTGTGTGTGCTGGGGGCTCGGCGCTGTGCTGCGTCCTGCCTGCTCCGCTCTGCGTCCACTGGGGGGGGAATAAGGAAAATAGGGGGAAAGTGGGGGGAGGATAATAAAGGGGGGGGGGGAAAAAAGAAG